GAACATCTTCTCCCTGGTCAGCGATTTTCAAACTAAGACAAAGGGATGATACCTATAAAAATAGTTTTTATTTTCTTTATATCTTTTTGTTATTTTGTATTGTTTTAACATTTACAACTGTATTGAGTATTGTGTTGAATTAATAAACTTTTAATAAAATTCTGCGCTGTAATAGTGTTTTAATAATAAAATAATTTTTTTTAACTGCTTTAGCCAAGTCATGTTGTAGAAATATACATATTTTGCTGAATTTTGTATCAGAATATACCACCAGCTTACACAAACTATGCCAAAAACTCTGTTACAAATAGAGTACTAGAACATATAATAAATACTTTTATAGCAAGCTGTCTCAAAGGTTTTGGCAGATGGCATTGTTTATTAACTTTAAGATAGGTTGAAGTTGCGACACACACCCATTTTATTATTATATCACAAACTAACACACGTTTTCACCTCTCAATCATACACACGCACACAGGCACACACGCACACACACACACACACACACACACACACACACACACACACACACACACACACTTCTACAGGCCGGCTCATTGCCACTTCAGCTTACTAATCCGTTGGGCTATGTCGGTCACTCTGGTTTTACTGCGGATATCCTCTTTCTGAGTCTATCACGCAGAGAAACCCCGAGCATAGTCCTCTCCATAGCTCGCTGAGCGAACTTGAGCATCCTCATACGGCCAGCAGTGAAGGACCACGTCTCAGATCCGTAAGTCATCACTGGCATCACGCACTGGTTGTACAATCTAGTTTTTAGAGATTGAGGTACACCTGACGAGAATATATGTCGTAATTTCCCGAACGCTGCCCAGCCGAGTTGAATCCGTCGATTGACCCCTCAGTCGAAGTTGGACTTACCTAGTCGGACTATTTGTCCCAAGTAAACGTACTCGTCAACAACTTCGAGCATAGTGCTCCCAACAACTGCCGGCATAGGTGTGACATGGACATTAAACATAATCTTTGTTTGTCCATGTTCATCTTAAGACCTATCCGTTGGAAGGCACTATTGAGGTCATTGAGCATAGTGCTTAAGTCCTCCAGCGACTCTGTCATAAGGACTATATCGTCGGCAAATCGAAGGTGAGTGATGTACTCGCCATTGATGTTAATACCGTATCCTTTCCAGTCCAGTAGCTTGAAAACGTCTCCAATGCAGCGGTGAAGAGTTTCGGGGATATAACGTCACCCTGTCTTACACCTCTTTCTGTCTTCTGTACAATCTGACGCGGGGTATTTATGTGGTCTATGGTACTGAAGCCTTGTCGGAAACCGGCTTGTTCGGGAGGCTGGAAGTCGTCGAGTCTGCGTGCGAGACGATTCGTAATGACTCTCGAAAACAGCACGTAGACGCGGCTCAGAAGGGAAATCGGTCTGTAGTTCTTCAAGAGAACGTAGTCGCCTTTGTTAAAGAACAAGACCACCGCACTTCTGCTCCACACCTCTGGAGTAGTGCCACCATGGAGGACGGAATTGAAGAGCTTCTGAAGGACTTCAAGTACCGGTATTCCACCCGCTTTCAGAAGCTCCGCTGTAATTCCATCCTCGCCTGGGGCCCTGCCGTTTTTAAGGTGCTGGAGAGCCATTCTAATCTCGCTTAGACTGACGTCCGGAATATCATCGGAATAGTGTCAGATAAGACTTGCTCTTGGATCGTTACTTGCATTTGCGTGTGGCTCCAACGATGATGTGTACAGCTGCCCATAGAACCTCTCAATCTCACTCAAAATCTCAGGTATCCCGGAAACGATGCTGCCACACTCAGTCTTCAGCTTTGACAGTTGGCTCTTACTGGCAGACAGATCTCTGGCAAAGACTTTGGAGCCCTGGTTCCGCTCGATCGCTTCTTTAATATAAGCAGTATTAAAGTTGCGTGAGTCTCGCATGCATTTGGAGATCTGTCTGTTCAGTTGCCTGTATGCTGTCAAATCTGTTGACGATTGCAGCCTCATCTCCCGTCTAACAGCCATGAGATTAAGAGTGTGATCGGAGAGTTTTTGTGTTCTTCTGCGGCGGGTCTTACAAAACTTAGCTCCGACCGCACAGACAGTTTCCACGAGCTTATCATTTATATCGTCCACTGCATTGCAATCTTCTAGGCACTGAAAGCGGTTACGTAACTCGAGCTGAAAGTTTTCGGGATTCTGGGTTAGAGCACGAGGGGGACGAAGCGTTGACTTCATTAGACGAGACCTCTCTAACTTAACGTTTAGGTTCAGTGTGCCTCTAACCATTCGGTGATCGCTGCCAGTTTTCACCCTTGCGATCACTGAGACATCACTGAACAGTTGACGTCTGGTCGTCATAATGAAGTCAATCTCATTTTTTGTCGAACCGTCGGGGCTCGACCAGGTCCACTTCCTGTGGGGCCGCTTCTGGAAGAAAGAGTTCATCATAAAGAGTCCCTCTTTCTCCATAAAGTCGGCCAGCTGCTGGCCCCTTCGGTTCCGTTGCCCTACTCCAAATTTCCCTAACTTAGCTCACCGTTTTCTCTTGTGCCTAGTTTTGCGTTGAAGTCTCCCATCAACACCGTGTAGTGAGTTTTGGAGGAATGCATGGCTTTGGAAATATCCTCATACATTTCCTCCACCTCCTCATCGGGATGTGCCGAGGTTGGTGCGTAAACCTGTATGACCTTCAGCGAATACCGTTTGGTGATTCTGAGTATCAGGTACGCGACCCTCGCGACCCGCGACCCGACGCTTGACGAGCGGGTTGGCAACCGCAGTTTTTTTTTTGTCGTACAATTGCTGTTATCAGGAAGATGCTGCTGCCCATCTCCTGCCTGTTTCCCTCTGTCGCCTTTTACGACACCCACGGGAAGATATGGGGTAGTGGATATTCTTAACCGCCACTACACGGCATACCAATGTTTCAATATACCTATGTCATTTTTTTGTTCTAAGTTGTCTAAATAGTAAGTGGATACATAATTATATTTCTTATACCTTGTAATAACGGTGTAAGAATATCCACTATCCTATATCATTCCTTAAGTATCTTAAGAGGCGACAGTGTTAAACAAATCAGGAGACGGCAGCAGTGTCTTCCTTATAACGACTAAAAGTAAAGAAATTACGGTTGCCTACTATCCCCCCTATGAGGCAATCTATGGGGGGACTTTAGCAGGTTGTTACGGTATAAGAAAGATTTCTTGAAAATAATAATTGACATAAATATATACATAAACACTCACGCCTGTTACCCAGAGGGGTAGGCAGAGACTACAGACTTCCATTTGGCACGATCCTGACACACCTCTCTCGCCTCCTTCACATTCATATACCTACGCATATATGCTCCTCGGTTAAGGGTACTCCTAATTTGGCCCGTTTTCAATAAATCGCCGATTTGGTCAATAAATTTTCGCCTAGGACGTCCCTTTCCGACTCTGCCATTCACTTCTGCAACATAAATTTTCTGAAAGAGTTGCCACTCTTTCCTCATTCACTCTTTCCACATGACCAAACCACCGAAGGATTCCTTTCTTAATCCTGGTCACAACACCATCTTGCAAACCACACTCTTCTCTTATCAGACAATTTCTCACCCTGTCATTCAGATTCAGCCCTAACATACTCCTTAACGACCGCATTTCTACTGCATTCAGTCTACTCTCGTGCTTCTTCTGCCACACCCAACTTTCACTACCATACGTTAAAGTATGGACCAACACAGCATTGTGAATTGCCATACGTGCTTTTTTCGGCACATTTTGACTCTTCACAATAGAGTGTATTCTTATTGACGTAAGAACGAATAAAATATTCGATTATTTTGATCCGTATTTATATAAAATTATCCTTGATTATAATATTCTCCTAGTATATAAAATCGATTACGACTCTTGATTCTAAATATTTACTTATATTTATTTATTATCATATCACTACACGATTGTATTTAAAGCAGTTGTCTCACCAGTTGTGAAGAAGACTATATTAGACAGTGGTCAATATTTATTCGCACATGAGCTCGGTTGTTCTATTAGAAGAGCACAAACACATGTTACTTCTATGAAATTACTATTGTACTGAACCAATCGGCCATTAAGAAATTGTTCAAGGCGCACTGAAGTTAATCGCACGCCGACAAAACAAACGTTTCTAACGCCAAACAACTTCACAATCGGCCGAACATAACCGAACTATGCTAAGTAGCTACGTAAATATGTTTTTTTATTATTTATTGAAACAAAATCTACAGCTTGTACATTTACCAATATATACAAACAAGTTTTGAACATATTATGCAATATAGAAGCCTTTATAGATTTACGATTTTTTTTTGCAATACATTTAAATATATTTTTTTCGTCTTCAGCAATGTTAACACATAATTTACAGTGTTTGTCGTAAGATACGTATATAAGATAAGTATGTACTGTATATTTGTATACCGTATGTTGAGTATCGGTGTGATGAGAATGAGAGGAAGTGTGTGTGTGTGTGTGTGTGTGTGTGTGTGTATGTGTGTGTGTGTGTGTGTGTGTGTGTGTGTGTGTGTGTGTGTGTGTGTGTGTGTGTGTGTGGCGTGTGTGCCTGTGTGCGTGTGTATGATTGAGAGGTGAAAACGTGTGTTAGTTTGTGATATAATAATAAAATGGGGGTGTGTCGCAACTTCAATCTATCTTAAAGTTAATAAACAATACCATCTGCCAAAACCTTTGAGACAGCTTGCTATAAAAGTATTTATTATATGTTCTTAGTACTCTATTTGTACAGAGTTTTTGGCATAGTTTGTGTAAGCTGGTGGTATATTTTGATACAAAATTCAGCAAAATATGTATATTTCTACAACATGACTTGGCTAAAGCAGTTAAAAAAAATTATTTTATTATTAAAACACTATTACAGCGCAGAATTTTATTAAAAGTTTATTAATTCAACACAATACTCAATACAGTTGTAAATGTTAAAACAATACAAAATAACAAAAAGATATAAAGAAAATAAAAACTATTTTTATAGGTATCATCCCTTTGTCTTAGTTTGAACATCGCTGACCAGGGAGAAGATGTTCTCAGCAGTACACCTCTTGTGAATGTCTAAATAGTCCTTACAGGTCACCCCACATTCCTGTATTAAAATCATAATTATGCATCTAAAATTTCTTTCATCTTATTATCTTCAATTGACAGTTACGCGTTGTAGCGTGTGTCCTGTTATATATTCCTAGTATAGTATCTCATTTCGTGAATATCGTAAAAGCCAACAATGGGAATGTTATAAATTCTCGTCAACTTCTCTTAACAGCCGTAACAGTTGCCTACTGTACATGGATCATCTGCCTATCCAATAGAGAAGAGGATTTTCCATTACACTTAACAGAGTAATTAGTTGCAATTCTGTTACAAATACGCTGTAAAATATTTATAGCCTTTTTCATAGTCTCCATGGCATTAATATCATATTGCTATCATGTGATGACTATACTATTAATGTCAATAAAGTCGCCAAAACTAAAATAATATAGAGCAGTTAAAAAAATGACATCCCAACTTAAAACACCCTAGGTAGCAATAAAATATCTACACAGTAAAGTCTCGATAATCTGGACACCGCCTCATTAGATGAGAGAGAGAGAGAGAGAGAGAGAGAGAGAGAGAGAGCACGAACGTAGCAGTCATAACGTAATCATTACGAAATCAAAAATAGGGTCTTGTTCTAGGTAATCTATAATACTTGCTAAGTATATCGAAGAAGTAATTAGATGTTACGTCAATTTTACGCACGTTGATTACATGCGTGTGAATGTGTGACCAAGATAATAATGAACTACAAAGTGAGGTTTCATTATGGAACTAAGTTGTTAATAAGCATTCTTATTTTACATTGTCTAATCCCGACACTCCAATAATCTCGGCCACCGTTTATTTTTAAGGGTCCTAAGTAACGAGGCACCGCTGAAAACTGATCAATTAGGTGACAATAGCGATAATGCTGACGCAAGGGAAGAAGTTATATAAAATGAGCTTAAATTATATTTACCGGTCCAAAGAAAGTCTGCATCCAGTTTTGAGCCATGACACATAAATTTTTGTCCGCCACACAGTTTTTGATAATCAACTTTATGCTAGTCTGTAATAGAAAGAAGAAATTTCGATGAATAAGAAGTCATTTTACAAAAAGTAATTCTTCATATTATTACGTATATTTGAAAAACATTTTATTTTCACATCCGACAATATTTCAAAATAATTTTTTATAGCAGCTAACATAATGGGAATAAGTGTCACGACGTTATAATACATAAATATTCACTGCATTTCCAGCTAATTATAACGAAAATATTCCATCAAAATGTGCGTACTTACCTTGACTGGACTGCCTAAGCCTTCGAGACGGTCACGGGTCAATAGAGGCATTGTCGTCCAACGACAACACGAGTCTTTGCTAGAGCTAAGCTGTATAGGCATGCGGTCCGTAGAAGATGGTACACCTTCCGGCGTATATCGAACATATAATGGTGGCGCCTAAAACAATTTTAATGTTCCATCAATTTTAATTTTCAAACATTGTGAAGTAGAAATACGTGAATTAAAAGAATATCAATATCACTACATAAGTAGTAAAACGTTTTGTGTCGTATAATCTTATGCTTCATCAGCAGCAGCTTGTAAAAGTTTTCCGTTAAGGTGAAGTGGGCCCCAAAGGCAAATTTTTCACGTTTTATAGGTGTGACCGGCGGCTTTTTGGTCGGCCCGCGCGCTATTTAATCGCACAATATTCATTTGATATTTCTTTTTAAAATTATGTATACTTTTTTTATTAATAAATATACCCATAATTCAATCACGTATTTACTGGTGATCACATAGCCTGAATTTAATTGAAATTGATTTTATTAATTACATTAGAATGAAACAGCTCTTTCACTACTAAGTGACCTAAAATTGTAGATTTTAAGAAACTTTGCGATCTTTTTCTATCGATCCAAAATGTGTCAATCATCTTTTGGCCAACATAATTCACTAAGAAAAATCTTTAACTTTCATAATGAATGAAATTAATGTGGATTCGTAGTCTTTAATGACAAAAAATTGATTTTCTGCGCACCTATAAAGCGTGAATAATCTGCTTTTGGCGCCCACATCACCTTAAAGAAAGTATTGGCCTTAATCTCCAGGCTTAGTAAACGTACTTTTCATGCTGTTTTCCGTCGCCAATCCAGTATTTACTGCCTTTATTTGGGTGCTGGTAAATACAGGTATTGATAAAATACTTTATGCCCGTGTCTGTCGAACGCACAGCGGTGACCAAGAGACAACAAATTTATTTGATCACCTTAGAGAGGCTGCTGATGTGGCCCCAAACTTGGTATCTTACTACACAGCTAGTCTTTCTGGTGACTTTAACGCCTGTTACCAAGATTGTTTGTAACCTTTAATGTATACAACATTAAAATAAAAACAGATATTTTAAAATATAAAGTTAAGTTAAAATATAAAATGTTAGTATTTCTCTTTATAATCTATCGTTTAATAGTGTTATTGCAGTGTGCATTAATTTTCAGAAAGAAGTCGGTAATATTTTATTAAAACTTGTTCTTTGGAAACGGTCGCGTGGTTTTATTCGATTTATTATTCACCAGAAGAGCGACCATGCTGGAAGAGAAGGGTGAAATTCTTCCTTGAATTCTGGCTTTAATAGTGATCTCTTTTCGTAATTCTACAGTAGACATAAACATGCATGATAAACTAAAGAAATTAGTAGACATAAGTAATGAATATACCTCAGGATCTCCATAGTTTACTGCCCTCAGAAGAAAATCATCACCGTAGTTCATTTGTACACCACGCAAACTTTCGTCCTTTGCGCTACAATTGCAATTTAATTTCAATGCTTTTGTTGAAAAAAAATGTTTTTAAAAGGAAAACAGTAATCGAAAGCTTTTTTTGTTTTACTACAACAGTTTCCTATCACATTTCGCTACACACATTACATTACAAAGAGATAGAGGAAGCAAAACATTAAGTTAAACCTCAATATGACGAAAGTGTTCCGACAACAGGGCGTAGTGATTGGCGACAGGGTCATAAGACATCCATCGTCTATGTTCTGGATGTAGTCTACTTGTCGCTCTCTCACCAAACTGGATAATGCCAAACCATAACGCGATTTTTCGCTACTTGCAAAGCCTTTAACTGGATAGCACAAATACGATATAATTAAGGACTTGTATTAAACTTAAAAACGAAATTGTACAACCAGCGCGTGTTGCTAGTGGTGGCTTATGAGTCTGAGACGTGGTTCACTGCTGGCCGTATGAGGAAGCTCAAGGTCACTCAGCGAGCTATGGAGAGGGCTACGCTCGGAGATACTCTGCGTGATAAACTTGAAATGAGGATATCAGCAGCTGAACCACAGTGACTTACGTAGCCCAACGGATTAGTTAGCTGAAGTGGCAATATGCAATATGCCTTATAGCTCGAAGCACCAACAACCGATGGGGAGAAAAGGTTCTCGAGTGGTAGCCTCGTACCTCGTACCGGTTCTCCTTTAAGCGTGTATGTTATCAATATCAAGGCACTCGAAACATCGAGGATATGAAAATAAAAATAAATTTATTAAACGAGATGAAATCCGTAAAATCCGTTTCTGTCCGTAAATCCATAAAATCAACTTCTTCTACTTCTGAAGTCTATTCTATGTATTTGTCTTATTGGTCACACACTTAGCAGGCAATTTAGCAATCGTATCGAATAGAATCATAGAATAGAATGTTTTATTAAATATATTATACTATAAAGCGGGAGATATACACACATACACACACACTCTCTCACACATACACACATACACATGTTATATATATATATATATATATATATATATATATATATATATATTATATATATATATTTTTAAGGTAATAAACGTGCACACAGTCAACTGCCTTGTTTCCAGTAGTAAGGGTTTCCGTTTCTACACTCACTATACGAAACACAGCAACTTAATGCTGCTGCAGTATTTTACGCTGGTATTATGTGAGGGCCTAGTCCTGCCCCGATGCTATAACCATAATGTAGCTGCAACGTGACTCTACCACGTATAAAAATAGTATATATTTATTTATTTATTTAATAAGGCTTACCAACTAAATACATATAGAAACAATTATTATGAGGTGCACTTAAAAAAATTGTATATATGCATTTAAATTTAAGGTAAACACAACATATAATAAAAGACTTCCTTTAAGGAGAACAGTGACCTATAAAACTATCACTACAATAAAATAATAAATTAAACTAGAACAAACAAAAAAAACCTATCTTATATAATGTATAAATGGAAAAAAGAGAGGAAGTAAAAAAAACTTTTATAACGAAAAAATTATTTGGCTGTGTAATGTTAGTACCTTCCTCTTTAAAACATTTAAGCTATCAAAATGGATATCCACATCACAATTTTGAAATGTTGAAATGAATGCATTCAACAAGGATGATAAAGGTGTGTTTCTGCCATATTCATTACGACTCTTTTTAATATGAAACGGTTTGTAGTTATGTAGACGTGCACTAATTCTTGGAACAGTGATATCGATATCAAGTAAGAGAGACCGACAGTCAATTTTAAAACTTAAGAGCTTGTGCAAGAAAGTTATACTTAATACATCCTTACGCCTTTCTAAAGGTATCATATGATAATGCTCAAGTCTTTTCTTATAGCTATTAAAAGTGTGATAAGTCCCTTCGATGTAACTAAGTCTAGCTAACATTCTTTTTTGTACCTTTTCTATACGTTGTATATTGTTTTGATAACTAGGATACCAAACAAAGGAACAGTAGTCTATATTGCTACAGATCAACGCGAAAAAGAGGGCCTTTAAAGCTGGTATGGACTTAAATTCTGTAGTGTATACATATAGGATATTGTTTTAATAGCAAATACATTGTGTGGAAACGAAGCATTCCACCTCAGGGGTGGCAACGTATCTGCATTTTGATTCTTAATCGAGGAAAGATGACAGCATCCATAGGTGGAATGTGTGCTGTTTTGTCACTCTTATACTATAAATAAAAAACATGCGTGCAGCGCACACGCCACAGAAGTGAAACCGTCAAATGAAATGAAATATAAAATACATATATCATCCGGACGACTGTATCAATGTTATCGGGTATACTTGTAGCAGTATTTATCAATTCCGAAGTGCAACATTCGGTTGTTATTGAAAGAACTTTTGAACCATCAAGTATTCGCCAAGCGAACGCGCGACATGTTATACTCCCGTTCGCTCGGGACCGTAATGGCGGGAAAATTTGAAAATTAGCAAATTTTTTGCTATATTGCAAATTTTGCTATATTTTCACTTTGAGACAATATGTATAGATAAAACTTACAGGAATTCTTGTTGAATGTATAAACTATCGAATAAAATTATTTTTTTGTTGCTAGAAATTGTAATAAAATACGTAAATTACCCTGTATAGCTGTATAGTGGTATATACTTCAATTTTAGTGACAAAATTACTACTAATTTGAATTCTACACTTTTGTTTTTAGAGAAATTTATATGAAAATGTTTGGAAATATGTATATTTTTATGTTTTATGTGTTTCCATTCGTTACTCATACCAAAATATAAAAATATAAAAAAATTAAAAAAAATAATAATATTTTATCTGTGTGACATTTAGAACAATATTTCTAAAATAGTTTTGTGTGAATTTGAAATAAATACAACGTCAAGTTATTTGAAATATGTAAGAAAACTATTTTTACTTACATTTTACACTAAAAATAAATGAGAATTTGAAAAATAACACATTTATGACCCAGCCGCCATAATGGGCCTTCCAGATTTTGAAGCACTTTTGGCAATTTACTTTTCACTTTTTATACCACAAATTATACATATATGTGTTCACTATATTACAAGGAATATAAAAAAGTATAATACTTTCGTTTTTAGTCCAGACACAAATATAAAATTCTATAAAAAAGACGGAGCACCTTCATCAAAACGACACGTGGAACGCCGAAAGTTCAGAGTGATTTCTTTTTTTTTTTTTCTAAGAAACATTGCCAGGTTATGGTTTAAAATAAAAGAGCATATCTTTGTCTTTGATACTATTATCTATTGCATCTAAGTGCCAAAATTAAACAGCTTGGTAAGCCATTATTTTTAGGGTAAAAGTAACGTTTTTACGTGGTAGAGCTACGCTACAGCTATATAAATAGCTACTGCACAAATGGATCAGCTCGATTGGGAAAGGAAGAATAATGCTTATGTGTATCGTATGTTGAGTCTAACGGCGCCTCTACACGTTGGCCTGCACAGTGGCGAATGTAGTGGCCAATAGCATTGGCCTACGTGTAGACGGGGTGTTTGGGCTTCATTGGTATGTATTGGAACGATGGCCCGCAAGTTGGCGCGAGATCCGTGTGGTGTCGGTTTTTTACAAAAGATCAAAGGATTGTTGGTGGAGTTTGGTCGCCGCGTCCACACGTTGGCCGCGCGTTTAGTTTGCTACTAGCTCCCAGAGTGATTACACGCATCTGATTTAAATTTTATATTCAAGCTTTGTAGTGTGGATGGCAATTACCAGCCTTCTAGTGCCAATTTCAACTTTAAACATTCCTACTACTTTAATTAGCGCGATTTAATTATTATTGAACATTTGTTTTAATCAACAAGCTATTTATCAAAAAAAATTAACATTTTTTTACAATCAGATTATTAAGAGAACAATTTTAAAATGAAAAAAATGAAGCACGTCGTTTATACGTGGTAGAACCATGCATTATTACATATTATAGATATATTAGAACATATTACAAAGGTATATATTAGAAGTATAGTTGCATCACGAAGGTCGACTCGACCGGGGAAGGACCACGCTCTCACAGAATATCAGCGTAAAATAGTAGCTTAATGATGCTGTGTTTCGTATAGTGAGTGTAGAGAACCAGGCCCTTTTTAAAGGAAACGAGGCATTTCATCTTAGTCCTCACGGGTGAACAACGCATCTGCATTTTGATTCGTAATCGAGGATAGATGTAGGTTTGTGGGCCACAGTAACCACTTACCATCAGGTGAACTGTGTGCTCGTTTGTCACACTATCCTATAAAAAAACGTCGATTTCTTATAATTTAATCGTGCAAGTTTTCGAATCATCATCATCATTACAGCTATTCACAAGTCCACTACTGAACATCCTCCTCCACAGACTGCCGCAAAGCATGGTCCTGAGCCACTTTGCTCGTTATGAGTTTTTCCTTTATGTTCTAATTTATAATTAGTACCTATTATTAAGTCAGTGTTAATTATATTTATTGCTATTGTTTTTGTCTTTTTTAAAAAATAATTAAATTACCAAATAAATTATAAGGTGTTTTTTATATACATCAAATGTCTGATTGAAATGCAAGTACATATTTTGCTAAACTTTAAAATCAAAACCCAATTTTAAAACATAGACCAATCGATTATAACTCCTTTAACTTTGAAATAAGTTAAGTTCTTATTAATGGTATTTATTCCAGTTTATTATGCATGTAAAGAATAAATAAAGCTAATCGTATATCGTATATCTATTAACAGCCCCATTAATAACCACTATTATTTTATAATTCTTTTATAAAAACGTTAACCCCACACTAGGATTTTCTCCCGTATCACGCAGGCAGTTTACAAACATAAATTGCACAAGGACACACATCCAGACCCGAAACAATTATTTGTAGGACATACAAATACTTGTTCCGTGCGGGATCAAACCCACGGTGCTTATAAATTCGTCCGCACATTGGCCCGAACCGAAGTAAACTGAACGACCTTCCAACGTGTGGACGCCGTCACCAACTCTCGGCCAATATATTCGCCACTCCATTCGCCACTGTGTTGGGCAACGTGTAGAGGCGACATAAAAAAACAGTGACAAGATATTCCATCTTACCATCTTAGTCCTCAGGGGGGCCAATGCATTTGCATTATGATTCTTAACCGATGACAGACGCAGATGTCTATGGGCTGCATTCATTTATCATAAGGTGTATGCTTGTTTATCATCATAAAAAAGTTACAACCAATGTACGTCACACTAATGGTCACAGGCCTCCTCTCATTTATTGTTATAATATGGAGCAGTTAGTCTGCCGCGTTCCAATTCCAGTGTATCTTGATGGACTTCACAGAAACATGCGAGATTCCGCACAGTAAAGTACGTACATCAATACTCAATACTTGGTGCTAGCGGGATTGAACCCGGGTAAAACTTATGACGAACGCTTAGGCCCTGAGCTACCACGGCTCATCTTTAGTACCTACTATTTATTTATCTATTATTTAGTAACTTATTTTACAAAATTTAGCGTAATAATATTTTATTATTGCGAAATATTATAATTGTTTTACCTAACATATCTGTTGCCACTATTTGCACATTGTAGCCGAATAATACGTAAGTTCCACTTATGGCAAGGGGTCTCTGAAATATTTTAAAATAAGACTAGGGCTAAAAGAAAATTAAAGAAAAAATTCAAAATTAAAGTAAAACGTTTAATATTTACCTCTTTCAGCAAATTGCTAAACAAAGTACGTGATTTTTGCAAAAGTAGTTCATGTCTTTCACGTTTCCTCAAAAACAACTTTAATTCAAACTGAAAATGTAATATAACTTAAATATCTTAATCTGAAATTGTGTATAACCCGAAATTATTTTAATAAGGGTATATATCAACAGGTTCACTCTTCTTTCTAAAAGTATGTGCAAATGTCCTTTTATTCCTTTCATTCCAAAACTATATTATTTTAACAAAAGCAACCTTTGTATCGGATTATGAGGGCCAAGTTAGAAATTTTATCACTTTACTTCGACCCGGTGTTAATATTAATCAAAAATAATTTGAAAACAATAGATATACACCTAGAAACGAACTTACAAAATACCTATTAAATAAATTCTTGAAGCTAAAGTTACCCTTATACATTTGTGCATGTGCCCCACGTTTTTCTTCTTATCACTATGAGGTTATAAATCTGTATAGGGCTAGAAGAAATTGTTTTAGTTTTACACTTTAGGTGGTTTTATTAACGTCGTGCATTAAAAAATATTTAAATTATTATTATTATTATTATTTCTATTTTCTACGTTTTCTCAGTTTGTTTTTAACAAAACTGGATTAATGGTTATTACCACGGGACAAAGCCAAGTGGATACCATGAACTTGTTTGGTTATGGGTAGTTTTCTGTAGAGATAAATTTTCTAACTATTCTACAAGTATTAAGTAAAACTACTTTTTGTAATTGAATATATGTTAGTTTTGGTAATTCTAAAGTTTTTAATGATTGATGAAGCGCTTTTGGTATTATACCAGTTGTAGAGAGGACTATAGGGAATGTGGAATTTGCATAACGCCATTATAGTATAATGGCGTTATGCAAATTCCACATTCTAATAATTTCATGTTTTAATTCAGTGTACTTAGAAATTTTTTCATTAATTGTTGTCTGTAAGTTATGTGAATTAGGTATAGCAATGTCAATAATAAGAGCACATTTATTTGCTTTATCTATTAATGTTATATCCGGTCTATTAAAGTGTATTGTTTTGTCAGTAAGTATAGCTCTGTCAAAATACATTTTGTGAGTGGTATTTTCAAGGACTATTTCTGGTTTATATTTATAGTATACTTGAGTTGGCTGGTCAGTTAATTTATACTTAAAGGCAAGTTTTTGGTGAATGATATTAGCTACTTGATCATGCCGATACTTATAGTCCGTTTGAATAATCGCTATACAGGCACCAGTGATGTGTTGAATTGTTTCTGAAGCATTACAACAGCGTCTACATGTGTCGGTATGTAAATTTTTTATTTTAATAATATGCTTTTGATAATTGCGTGTCTCTATGATTTGGTCCTGAATTGCGCACATAAAACCCTCAGTCACTGGGAAAAGCTCACCACGTTAAAGCCATGCGTTCGACGCTAATTTGTCTACGGTAGGTTGGTTCAAATCATGACGATGTCTTCCATGTAGAGCCTTTTGGGTCCTTATGTCAATTTTTGTGTTGTTATCTGTAAGTAACTCATTATTTTGCAATGTTTTATCATGCATATTAAGCGGTATCAATTTATGATCATTCTGTACTATGGCATTGTGTAGTGATGATATTGCTGTTTTATCATAAAAGTAATTTCTGAGTGTAGTTATTTGTCTGTTATGTAAGTTAACTATGTCTATTACCCCTCTTCCTCCTTCATTTCGTGGCAATGTTAGTCTTTGTATGCATGATCTTGCATGGTGTTTACGGTGCCTCGTAAGAGATGTATTTATTTCGCGTTGTAGCTTTTTAGTTCAGTTTTGGACCAGTGTATTATGCCAAAGGAATAAGTTAGTATGGGAATTGCAAATGTGTTAATAGCTTTAAACTTATTTTTAGAATTTAATTGAGATGTTAATACTAAGCGAAGTCTATATCGAAACTGATCTGTTAATGTATTTTTAATTTCTTTATGATGTATTTGTTTAGACTGATTATATCCTAAATACTTATACACTCCATTTTCCTCTAAAGATTTAATTTGCTATCCTGTTTGCAACTGATAGTTATGTTCATAATACTGTCCAGCTCTTACTGAATTAATGTTGCACTTATCAATACCAAATTCCATTCCAATATCTCGTGAAAATTTTTCCGTTAATATAACTAATTGATCTAATTCATCTTGAGTAATAGCATATAGTTTTAGGTCGTCCATATACAAAAGATGACTAAGTTTTTTTCTTCTTTGTTAGTGTTTTGTTTTGTATTGTAAAGAGTACCCTATGTTTTTTGAAGTTTAACATTTGTGATAAGGGATTTATTGCAAGGCAGAACCGGAGAGGACTAAGTGCATCCCCTTGAAAAATACCTCTCCTTATTGCAATAATATCTGTTTCTATCATTCCATCTAGTGAGTTAATTTTAAGTTTCGTTGTCCAATTCGTCATCGCAGCCTGTAAAAATTGTATTATGTTTGGGTGTATTTTGTATATTTCTAAAATTTTTAATAACCAAGTGTGCGGGATTGATTCATAAGCTCTCTTATAATCAATGTACATGCTAAATAAATCTTTTCTTTTTGATTGTACCTGCTTTAATAATACTGCATCTATTGTGAGCTGTTCTTTACAAACCTGACTAAATTTCCTACAACCTTTTTGTTCTTCTGACAATATGTTATTAGCTTCTATGTGTTCATAAACGGTTTCAGTTAAGCAAGATGTAATTATTTTGTGTAATTATTTTGTAACATGTGATAGGTCTATATTTTGCAGGATTGTCAAGATTACTAGGCTCTTTTGGTATCATATACGTTATTCCTGAACTAATATATTGCGGCAAAGTATGCGGGCTTTGTATAAATTTATTAACAAGATTAAACAGAATCGGGTGGATAGTTGTAAACTTTTTATACCAATAGTTATGTATATTATCTGATCCAGGTGTTTTCCAATTATGCAGTTTTTTAATTACTTTATGGAAAGTGTCTATCTTGATGTGTTGAAATTGCATGGCTTTAATCTGTGATGTGTCTATTTGATTTTTGATCCAATCCGTTTCTGTATTATAATGTTTAGGTTCCTCCCATATTGTAGACCAGTAACTTTGTAATTCTCTCGGTGATGGTAAGATATTATTTTCGGAGCTTTTCAAACTACTGATTTTATTTTTAAAAGGATTTTTTATATTACGGTAGAAAAGTTTTTCATTTGAACAAAATAGAATGTTTTGAGTTTTTCGTAGAGAACATGCTCTATATCTTTTTAACCGACTACTAGTAAGTTTTAGTGTTTGTTTAAGTGTGTCTAAAAAATTTTCGTGTTTGGTGTTATTACAGAATGAATTTTATGTTGTTCGAGTATATAATTTACGTGTTTAATTAATTTTTGACCTCGGTTTCCATTAATATATTGTGTTATCCTTGCAATTTTTGCTATTAATTCACTTACTTTGTTTTCTAATCTTTGTTCCCACTTTGGCTTATTATATTTCTTTTGTTTCTCAGGTCCTAACGGATTATCAACTTGTATAGCTATTTCAATTTTAGCTCCGTTGAGCTTAGCTGAAGTCCATGCTGCACAGTACACTAAATTCTGAAATGTTTTAAATTCAATTTCGCTGTTGATATATTGTGGCAATAAAATATTATTTACATAGGCGACTAATTTACTAAATTTTTTTGATGACCTCTGCTTTGGTATAAATTGTCTTTCTGTTGGGTTTGTATTAGCACAATATTCTAAAGCTTTAGTAAACATTTCATCTATGGCAATTATCTTTTCCCTATGTAAATTTTCATTTTCATTTGTTGTGTGGTTTTCAGTATTTAAATCTAAACTTTCTGTATCTGGTTCTTCGTTGTCTGTGATACCTATATGAAGTATTGAGTTGTCATTGGCTTGTATATCGTTTTGCTGTTCTTGTAAGTCATTCTTAATTAATTCTAAGCGGTCAACATTTAAATATTTTTTACGTAGAATTAATCTTCTTTGGTCAGCTACGCGTTGCTCTGTCAAATGACTTAAATGGGGGAATTGGTTTATAAACTCTTGGTGTAAGAGTTTCCTATATGCTATTTTATTTTTCTCACATTGAGTTATTTTGTAGTAAATTCTTATTATAGCTTCATTATATTCGTCTGTCCATTTCATGCGTTGTTGTGTTTGTAAAGGGTGGGTATTAGTGTGTTGATTATTTTGTGTAACAGAGATTAATTGGGCAAATGTAGTCTATAAATTTGATTGCACTTCATTATAAATTTGATTTACTATTTCTTGGGGCAAAAGTTTGTAATTCATTATTGCCCTTCGCTGATCACCTATTATTTCACGAGTAACTTGCATATCTGGGAATCGTTCTATACATTTCATGTGTAATGGTTATAAATAACCTTTAGTGTCAGTATCCATCATTGTTATATAGAGGTAAGTACGCAATATAAATTCATTCATTTCAGAAGTCCATTTTTTACGCGTGTTACGGTTACTGATGGTGGGCACAGTTTCTATAACAGGAATTATTTTCTGTGCATCATCCTTCAGCAATTGGCTACTTGATGATAATGAAGAAGATAAAGACTGGTGTGAAATGTTTGGTATTGATTTTTGTCTATCGTTTCCGGGGGTATATAAACTATCACTATCACTAAGGTTATCGGTGTCGGTGGATCTCGCTTGAGCCGTTTGACGGGAAATCTTCCTCGCCCGGAGATTGTACGCGCCCCAAGATACAGTACCATCTCGGCTTCCGCCAGAGTCGACATGGTTACTGAATCTGCCGGGCACTGGGGGCCGTAGTTTACGCCGTGCACTCATTTTTTTAAACCTGGTTTGGGATCGTTAGTTGGGAAAGGGTCATTAAATATTAATAGGCATAGAGATTATTCTGCCTTGTTATTGTTACAGAGTATAATTGTTCAGACTGCAGTTGAGTACATGCCTTTTTCTTAAGCCCCCCCCCCACCACGACAAGGTGATCCCGTAGGGGGGTTATTATTATTATTATTTGGGGTATCTATATAATTTTCTCACCTGGTTGGGTTCTATAAATATATAATTATAAATTAAAATGAAAAGATAAATGTACATAAATATCAATAAAATAAAATAAATACAAAAACTACATAAATAAATAAGATCCAACCAGATGGGAGCCCTCGGAAGGGGAGACCAAACGGCCGAGGGTTAGGGGGAAAGGGAAAGAAACCGGCGGACGATGCGGGCGGTATCGAGGAGCACCGCTTTCTGCATTTGAGCCCGGAGCGGTCCGTCACGGAGTCCCAGTCGCCTCAGATGACCCGAGAGGCTGACTGGGATTAGCCCATTCGCAGAGACGACTACAGGAATAATTTCGGTCGGCATACCACCCCACATGTCGGTCACCTCGTGAGCCAGGTCCAGATATTTTGTTCGTTTATCTGTTTCGGCTTTCACGAGGTTCTCGTCATACGGAATGGTAATGTCGATCAAAAATATCCTTGACTGTGCCCGGTCCATCAGCACAATATCAGGCTTATTCGCAAGAATAGTCCTGTCTGTGATGATGGCCCGGTCCCAGTAGAGCCTGCGGCGGTCATTTTCGAGCACGGCTTCCGGCAAGTACTTGTAATACGGCAATTTTCGGTCCACGAGACCGTATTTCAGAGCGAGCTCCTGGTGTAGAATTCTGGCTACTAGGTTGTGCCTGTGCAAGTACTCAGAGTTAGAAAGCGCCGAACAACCGGAGATGACATGCCTAAGTGACTACCCGGGATGGCGACAAGCTCGACAGACGTCGACAGTGCCATCCTTTAGGATATATCTCCGATAGTTGTTGGTCTTAAAACCTGATCCTGTACACAGACAAAACCCTCGGTTTCCCCCGAAAAGGTCACAGAAACGTAGCCAGTTGAGGGAGGCGGCTGTATCTACGTGAGGCTCATGTAGAGCCCTGTAGTACCTCCCATGGAGCTCCTTCTCCTTCCATACGGTCTCCCGGTCGGAAATGCTCTGTACTGCCGGGTCTTGCCATTGCTCGTTAGCTAAGGATAGAGGAGTAAGTCCTTTATCACTAGAAATAACGTCATTATAGAATGGATCATCCGATCTCGCCAGGAAGTAATGACGGAGGCTGCACACTTCGCGATTATGCATGGTATATTTTATTATTATTATTGTGGGGTATCTATACAGTTTTCTCATCTGGTTGAGTTCTATAAATATATAATTATAAATGAAAATGAAAAGATAAATATACATAAATATCAATAACATAAAATAAATATAAAAATACATAAATAAATAAAAGCCCAACCAGATGGAGGCCCTCGGCAGAGGAGACCAAACGGCCGAGGGTTAGGAGGAAAGGGAAAGAAACCGGCGGACGATGCGGGCGGTATCGAGGAGCACCGCCTTCTGCATTTGAGCCCGCAGCGGTCCGCCACGTAGTTCCAGTCGCCTCAGACGACCCGAGAGGCTGACTGGGATTAGCCCGTTTGCAGAGACGACTACAGGAATAATTTCGGTCGGCATACCACCCCACATGTCGGTCACCTCGTGAGCCAGGTCCAGATATTTTGTTTGCTTGTCTGTTTCGGCTTTCACGAGGTTCTCGTCATACGGAATGGTAATGTCGACCAAAAATATCCTTGACTGTGCCCGGTCCATCAGCACAATATCAGGCTTATTCGCAAGAATAGTCCTGTCTGTGATGATGGCCCGGTCCCAATAGAGCCTGGTGCGATCATTTTCGAGCACGGCTTCCGGCAAGTACTTGTAATACGGCAATTTCCGATCCACGAGACCGTATTTCAGAGCGAGCTCCTGGTGAAGAATTCTGGCTACTAGGTTGTGCCTGTGCAAGTACTCAGAGTTAGAAAGCGCCGAACAACCGGAGATGACATGCCTAAGTGACTCACCGGGATAGCGACAAGCTCGACAGATGTCCACGGTGCCATCCTTTAGGATGTATCTCCGATAGTTGTTGGTCTTAATAACCTGATCCTGTATTGCACAGACAAAACCCTCGGTTTCCCCGAAGAGATCACCAAAGCGTAGCCAGTGGAGGGAGGCTACTGTGTCTACGAAAGGCTCATGTAGAGCCTTGTAGAACCTCCCGTGGAGCTCCTTCTCCTTCCATACGGTCTCCCGGTCGGAAATGCTAAGCACTGCTGGGTCCTGCCATTGCTCGTTGCCTAAGGATAGAGGGGTAAGCCCTTTATCACTAGAAATGACGTCATTATAGAATGGATCATCCGATCTCGCCAGGAAGTAATCGCGGAGGCTGCACACTTCGCGATTATGCATGGTGAGCGCGCTCAGAAAACCACGTCTACCATGCTTTCGCGGCAAGTACAGCCTCATTACCGACGATCTCGGATGATGCATCCTATGGGACGTCATGGTAGTGCGGACCAGGTATCGGTATGTTTCAGCCTCGGAAAGGGTCCTTAAGTTGACGGGCATAGATAAGTCTATGCACTCAGAGTTAGCAACCCTTCCCCTTTCAACATGGAGGACCGCACACTTATCCGTTCCCAGCTCCATTCCAATAGAACTGCTAAATTCACAAGTGATGTTTAGCAATTCCATAAGATGGGAGCGACTGGAGGCGAATAACATGAGGTCATCCATATAGAAAAGGTGGGTCATTTTTGTACCTCCTTTCCGAAGCTGAAATCCCCTCCCGGAGCCCTCCAGTAAAGTACTGAGAGGGTTCAGGGAGAGGCAAAACCAGATTGGACTCAGAGAATCGCCCTGGAAGATACCCCTTCTTATCCCTATGTGGTTCTCCGCAGCCATCATCCGCTCGCCCAGATAGCAAAGGATCGTACTCCATTGCCCCATACACTGCTCGAGGAAGTCTCCAACTGTACAGTCAATTTTGTACAGCTAGAGGTCTCTTTAGCCATGTATGGGGCACCGAGTCGAATGCCTTTCTGTAGTCTATCCAGGCGGCGGAGAAATTCCGACGGTTGCGTTTCACCACTTTGCCAATGACCGCGTCAATGAGGAGTGGTTCCTTGGTTCCACGACCACCGCCCCGGCATCCATTTTGAGCGCGTGACATCACCTGATTTCTGATCATCTGAATTAGCCACAAATGGAATGTTGACGGCAGCATCCACATATGCTGTTTGTTGCGCATCTAGTGGCGCCGCATTCCCAGCCGTAGCATTTCCATTCGATGAAGGAATAGCCTCACGTCGTAGTCGTTCGAGTTCCATCTCTGCAAAAAAGCGATGCATCCGAGCCCGATACGCCAAACATCCAGTTTCTTCCTCTTTTGCCCTAAAATACGACCACAGTGCGTTTGCATTCATTAATTTTGACCAACTCATGCGACGTGCTCCACCAGCGGCTAGTGCCGCTTGCTGAGTCCGAGAAGACCCAGCCGACACCAAGCCTTCTGGTGGGGATGATGGATGCGGGGGGCTGCTAGGTGGTCTTGCAACACCCCGCGCTCGGCTGGCAGCCCGCATGCTGTCGCGTCCAGCGCCAGCTCCAGACGCGCCCTGGCGACCTCCAGGCAGCGGCCCTTTGCGCACTATCTTTTTTTCCATCATCCATAATTTGGGCGTCCATTAACGGGAGACGCCCAGGCCCGGCACCGTATCGTGGACGGCCATAAGCACAAACGGGCCTTTGCACCCTGAATTCTGCCGAGGCACGGCGCTCACACCTCTCGCAAGGCGCTGACTGACTGCGTTGACGTAGCAGTTTTGTCACTTAATTGTTACGTCACCGAGCGATGGGGTCGTCAATTCCCTACGCCAAATTATTATTATTTTAAATAATTATTATAATTGGGGTATCTATATAATTTTCTCACCTGGTTGGGTTCTGTAAATATATAATTATAAATTAAAATGAAAAGATAAATATACATAAATATCAATAAAATATAGTAAATACAAAAACTACATAAATAAATAAGATCCAACCAGATGGGAGCCCTCGGCAGGGGAGACCGAACGGCCGAGGGTTAGGGGGAAAGGGAAAGAAACCGGCGGACGATGCGGGCGGTATCGAGGAGCACCGCCTTCTGCATTTGAGCCCGGAGCGGTCCGTCACGGAGTCCCAGTCGCCTCATATGACCCGAGAGACGGACTGGGATTAGCCCATTCGCAGAGACGACTACAGGAATAATTTCGATCGGCATACCACCCCAAATGTCGGTCACCTCGTGAGCCAGGTCCAGATATTTTGTTCGTTTATCTGCTTCGGCTTTCACGAGGTTCTCGTCATACGGAATGGTAATGTCGATCAAAAATATCCTTGACTGTGCCCGGTCCATCAGCACAATATCAGGCTTATTCGCAAGAATAGTCCTGTCTGTGATGATGGCCCGGTCCCAGTAGAGCCTGGCGCGGTCATTTTCGAGCACGGTTTCCGGCAAGTACTTGTAATACGGCAATTTTCGGTCCACGAGACCGTATTTCAGAGCGAGCTCCTGGTGTAGAATTCTGGCTACTAGGTTGTGCCTGTGCAAGTACTCAAGAATTAGAAAGCGCCGAACAACCGGAGATGACATGCCTAAGTGACTCCCCGGGATGGCGACAAGCTCGACAGACGTCGACAGTGCCATCCTTTAGGATGTATCTCCGATAGTTGTTGGTCTTAATAACCTGATCCTGTATTGCACAGACAAAACCCTCGGTTTCCCGAAGTGGTCCCGAAACGTAGCCAGTTGAGGGAGGCGGCTGTATCTACGTGAGGCTCATGTAGAGCCCTGTAGTACCTCCCGTGGAGCTCCTTCTCCTTCCATACGGTCTCCCGGTCGGAAATGCTCTGTACTGCCGGGTCTTTCCATTACTCGTTGGCTAAGGATAGAGGGGTCCTTTATCACTAGAAATGACGTCATTATAGAATGGATCATCCGATCTCGCCAGGAAGTAATGACGGAGGCTGCACACTTCGCGGTTATGCATGGTGAGCGCACTCAGGAAGCCACGCTCACCATGCTTTCGCGGCAAGTACAGTCTCATTACCGACGATCTCGGATGATGCATCCTATGGGGCGTCATTGTAGTGCGGACTTTTCTATCCAGGGCGTTAAGTTCAGTCTGACTCCACCTGAGTATGCTAAAGGTATACATGAGGACAGGCATGACCCAACCGTTATATGCATGTGTCTTATTCACATCGGACAAAAGGCTGTTAAGCACTTTGGTCAAGCGTGCATAAAACACGTCGCAAACTGACTGTTTCATACCAGCTTCATCGATACCGATGTTCTGTGACATACCCAGGTATCGGTATGTTTCAGCCTCGAAAAGGGCCCTTAAGTTGACGGGCATAGATAAGTCTATGCCCTCAGAGTTAACAACCCTTCCCCTTTCAACATGGAGGACCGCTCACTTATCCGTCCCCAGCTCCTTTCTAATAAAATTGCTAAATTCACAAGTGATGTTTAGCAATTCCACAAGATGGAAGCGACTGGAGGCGAATAACTTGAGGTCATCCATATAGAAAAGGTGGGTCACTTTTGTACCTCCTTTCCGAAGCTGAAATCCCCTCCCGGAGCCCTCCAGTAAAGTACTGAGAGGGTTCAAACAGAGGCAGAACCAGATTGGACTCAGACAGACGCCCTGGAATATACCCCTTCTTATCCTTATGCGGCTTTCCGCAGCCGTCATCCGCTCGCCTAGATGACAGAGAATCGTCCTCCACTGGCCCATACACTGCTCGAGGAAGTCTCGAACTGTACAGTCAATCTTGTACATCTCGAGGACCCTCTTTAGCCATGTATGGGGCACCGTGTCAAATGCCTTTCTGTAATCTATCCAGGCGGCGGAGAAGTTCCGACGGTTGCGTTTCACCACTTTGCCAATGACCGCGTCAATGAGGAGTGGTTCCTTGGTTCCACGACCGCCGCCCCGACATCCATTTTGAGCGCGTGACATCACCTGATTTGAGTCCGGGTGACGAGCGATTCTCGCGCTCAAAATGGATGTTAGTGTCTTGTATATAGTCGGTAGACATGTGATGGGGCGGTATTTGCTCGGGTCTGTGGTATCCTGATCTTTAGGAACCAAATGAGTGATCCCAGTAGTGAAGAGGCTTGGGAGCGAATTCTGGTTGAGAGCCTCTTGAAGGTGTCGGGCGAGCACAGCGTGACACACCATGAACCTCTTCAGCCAGTAGTGATGCAGCCCGTCAAGCCCCGGACTTTTCCAGTTCGGGGCCCTACGGACTGCCTCAGCCACGTCTTCAGGCGTTATGATGACGGGGTCCATAGGCGTAACACTTGCACTCTGGCTCGCCACAACTTCCATCCAAGGGCCCTCGCTGTGGTTTACGGGCTCTGACCACAGGCCACGCCAAAATGCGACAGTGTCAGCCTGATCCGGTCCTGGGCCCGCTCCACATACCTCTGGTCGCTCCAATGATTTATAGAGCCTCTTCTGATCACTCTGAAAGAGACGATTCTGGTTGAACCGCCTTGACCTCTCGCTAAATCGTCGAATCCGCTTCCCCCAAGCAGCGATTTTTTGCTTTAGGTCATCTATGCGCTCCGTTACTTTTTGCGTGATATCTGGCTGGGACAAACTAAAATTTGTCCCAGCAAACGCCATTCTAACGGTTCGCACAACTCTCGGTCTATTATTACCCGAAGCTCGTCAGTCTGCCGATAAGGGCCCTTGTCTTTGCGATACGGTCCTCAATTCTTTTTCTCCAGGCTGGGATGGCGCTACTTTTTTGAGTAGCACGTCCAGCCACGGGAAGTTTGGCGCCAATAATACGGCATACTGCCAGTGCGGCGCCAAAAAGAACTGAGTCCCTCTCGCAAAGGTCCCGGCTGGCTTCCAAATAGTTCACCAGCATTGGTTTAAGAGCCCGCACGACAGCCCGATTTCGCTTGCTAAGGGGTATACGGGGAAGTCGCGGTCAATTTTCGAGAGGCATGCTGCGCGTTTCCAGCATCGACTCTTCCAATATGCTCCTCATTTTCTCTAGTTCGTGGGAGACTATTCCATCATCGTCTGAATTAGCCACAAATGGATTGTTGACGGCAGCATCCACATATGCAGTTTGTTGCGCATCTAGTGGCGCCGCATTCCCAGCCGTAGCATTTCCATTCGATGAAGGAATAGCCTCACGTCGTAGTCGTTCGAGTTCGGCGTCACCAAATATGTTGGAGCGCAGGATGTACCGAACTCGGTCTGCCAGGTTTTGCTCAGTGACGGATAGAGATGGCTCGAGCTCTGCAAAAAAGCGATGCATCCGATCCCGATACGCCAAACATCCAGTTTCTTCCCCTTTTGTCTTAAAATACGCCCGCAGTGCGTTTGCATTCAATTAATTTTGACCAACGCATGCGACGTGCTCCACCAGCGGCGGGTGGCGCTTGCTGAGTCCGAGAAGACCCAGCCGACACCAAGCCTTCTGGTGGGGATGATGGAGGCGGGGGGCTGCTAGGTGGTCTTGCAACACCCCGCGCTCGGCTGGCGGTCCGCATGCTGTCGCATCCAGCGCCAGCTCCAGACGCGCCCTGGCGACCTCCAGGCAGCGACCCTTTGCGCACTATCTTTTTTTCCATCATCCATAATTTGGGCGTCCATTAACAGGAGACGCCCAGGCCTTCACCGTATCGTGGACGGCCATAAGCACAAACGGGCCTTTGCACCCTGAATTCTGCCGAGGCACGGCGCTCACACCTCTCGCAAGGCGCTGACTGACTGCGTTGACGTAGCAGTTTTGTCACTTAACTGTTACGTTATCGGGCGATGGGGTCGTCAATTCCCTACGCCATTATTATTGTTATTTGCAGTTTAGTCTGTGATCTGACCTATACTTAAAGTTTGTCATTATCAGGAAGTTATTATAAATTCTGTTACAAAAAATACACGGAACAGACAAACAAATAATCATATGGATGAGAAAAATCTATGTAAAGTGAGTTGCTTGTAATAATGCATTATCCTCCAGTTCTAAGCCATTTTTAAAGTTTCAAGTCTTTAGCTAATCGGAAAATTAGTTTAAAGTCGATTGCAAAATTTATACTGAACAGACAGACAGAAAGTTAAGCAAATTAATATAAACGTATAAATAAAAAACTTAAATCCTACTAAACGAAACTTATTTAACTTTAAACTCAGAGACAATCGACTCAATATGGCGAAATATCTTTAAAGTGTATATTTATCTACCGAACCATTACGACAATCACGATACCGAACATGCAGTTCTATTTGGTAACTCTTTGGTAATACTAATCGATTTTAGTTTATCTACGCTTAATACGTAAGTATTAGAGGTATAAAAAAACTTGGTCGAGCCACGTTGCAGCTATATTATGGTTGTAGTACGAAGGGTTTGGCTCCATCAGGGAAGGACCACACTACATACACAAAAATACCACAGAATACCAGCGTAAAATAGCAACATATGCTGCTGTGTTTCATATAGTGTACAAACACTATAAAAACAGGCGACCTTAACTCTTACTGGTGACAACGCAACTACATAAATCAAAGATAGATGTAGGTGTCTTTGGGGCACAATATCCACTTACCATCAGCTATGTGCTCGTTTATCACCCTTATTATATAAATAGTAAACTTCGTTTGAAGTTTACTTTTTCAGACGTTTTAATAATATATCAATATAAATAGCAATGGTTCGGAAAATTTTAAAACTACAAACAACTTGTACTTGTTTTATTTTTTTTAGATCTTACCTCATTTTTCAGTCTTTCTTCATTCCAATTGCCTATCAATACGGAATTATTATAATTCATTTTAATGCAAAAAGACGTCTGGACGTATTTAATAAAGTTCTGTATTTCAGAAATGAAACTCTTAAAAATACGGTTGTAACCAAATTGAACCAAACTGTAATTTAAAATTACCTTTAATGTTGCCATAGGAACGACCAAAAAGAATAAATCATAGATTATTGATTAAATAAATAAGGAATGAATAGCACATTTGGGAACGGCTTTTTACTGTAATCATTAAAAAAAGAGTAGTGATTTTACACGATATCTTCGTCAATTATTATTCCACTCAGAAGGGTCAAATAATTAAAAAATAACAGTCCAGTGACAAATCAGACTTCAGAATGTAAAATTATTTTATTATTTTTAGTACTTTGAAGTCCGCATTTATTTCTTATTAAAAGATTAATCATTAAGTTGCCTCCAAATCTGTAAAAATGCTAAACTAACAAGAAGTATTTGCAAAGTTGTGTACTGTGTTAGGCTAGTTAAATTATGTAAGCATAAAAAAGAATATTTTCTAAGCACTATTCGTTAAATGCCATACAACTTATCTCTGAAAGAATAGAACAGGAGAACGATCGCCGTAGAAAATAGTGTCCCAGAAATATGGACACCATAAGTGAGGCGCTGCGATCGCTAACTTCGTCAATAAAAGTCATTTTTAGTCTATTTTTCCGATCAGATGCTAAACCACTTGCACATCCACGCGCAATAAAATACTTCTCCATTTTTGAATTTTTTTTTGTCAAAAATTACAAAATTACGGCGCATGAAAATTTTCTAACCAATGCCGCGGAGAAAATTTGTACATTATTCAACTAACTTCATCTACTTGTACTCATAAACAGCTAACTTCGCAGTCACTACTCACCGACATCAGCGCCGCTATAAATTCTACAATTTTCAAGGACAGGCGGGCTATGCTTTAATACGTAGTGATCGTTCTCCTGTTCCATAACCTTCATGGTCTGAATCTAGAGAATTTTATCTCACAGTGTAATTAATATTCGACTATTACATAGTATACTATTATAATACGCCCGTAGACAGAGAAATCTATAGACAAATTGACACCTTCTTTCACATTCGCACACGAAAAAGATAGATTTATGCAAACGTCTTGCATAGAAATTAGACAGAGCGGTGTGACTGTTTGTCCCTTTCTCCGTGCCGGTTTTTTTATGTTTAGCGAACTACGCCTTGCTAAACAACTTTGACAGTTCGTAGCGATCTAAGGAGTTTACAAGTTGGTTTAAGTGCGGAAAAAGTGTTTTGTGAGCTTAAGATTGGTGAATCTTGTTCGTTTCAGTTCTTAGAACAATTAAAAATTTTATCTAAAATGTTTAAAAGTCATAAAGATTATTTTCAATTTTAAAAAGAAGGAAAGCCATGTATATTATTTCTTTGTACGAATTCAATCGCTGCTGTTTCAGATGCACATTAAGGCTGTCAAATAAAGGGATAAATTTTAAATTTCTCTTTATTGTTCTTTGAGACAGGTCCTTGTAGTCAAACTCCGTGTTTTTAATCTTTGCGTGAACGTAATCAATTTTTTTAAGTAATCAATTTTTTCCCCTATAAAATAATAATTGCAACGTCCATTTTATTGTTTCTTTCTAAAGATATGTTGGCTGAATACTTGTTTTGTCCATTGCTTGGAAATGATGCTTTAAATTTCTATCAGTGCTATAAATTCAATGTTCCTCATTTTTTACTGCATCTACTCGTTATGATTATCTCGTTTCACCAAGACTTCTAATAACATGTTTTGAGCCTTAATATTTTGTTTATGAATTTCATGGGTCGTTAAAACTCAAAAAAAATTGTACGCTTTCTGATCGTTTCTAAAATCTCTTATAAAGTCTATAAGATCGCCAATAAAATCTTGTCAAGTTGAAAGAATGTTCTGGACATGGTACAAATGTTTTTTTTTTTATAGAAGTGGGGGCAAACGAGCATGCGGCTCACCTGATGTTAAGTGACTACCGCCGCCCATGATCAACCGCAACACCAGGGGAATTGTAGGTGCGTTGCCGGCCCTTTAGAAAGGAGTAAGCTCTTTTCTTGAAGGTCCCCAGGTTGTATCGGTCCGGAAAAATCGCCGGTGGTACACTATTCCACAGAGAGGTTGTACGCGGAATAAAATTCCTTTTGAAACGTACTGTGGTGAACCGCCAAGCATCCAGATGGTGTGGATGGTATCGGGACGTTTGCCGCGTAGTGCGTTCACGAAATTTGGCGGCTAGGATTAATCCGAACAATTCCTCAGAGCACTCTCCATGGTATATGCGAAATAAAATGCAAAGAGATGCAACATCTCTTCGCAGTGCCAGTGAATCGAGCCGACCGGAAAGCACTCGGTCGTCGACGATTCGAGCCGCTCTGCGCTGGATGCGGTTAAGTGAAAGAAGCTGGTACTGGGGAGCCCCAAGCCCAGAGATGGGAATAGTATTCCATGTGCGGCCGAACCTGCGCCTTGTAAAGTTGTAGGCGGTGTGCCGGCATGAAATACTGTCTCGCTCTGCTGAGCACGCCAAGCTTTTTGGAGGCCAATTTGACCTTCTCTTCCAAGTGACCACGAAACTGCACGTCACTCGATATGTCAACGCCGAGGATTCCGATACTGGCTGAAGCAACAAAGGGAGTGCCTTGAAACTGAAGATATACAAAGGGGTTCTTTTTAGCGGTTAACGCGCAAACTTGTGTCTTCTGGGGGTTAAACTGGACTAGATTTAGTCGCCCCCAATCCGAGACTCTGTTCAGCAACGACTCGACTTCAGCCACAAGTTTCTCCCGGCACTCGGAGACATTTTCGCGAGAAATATTGGCTCGGCTGGTGTAAAGAGCATCACCAGTGCTGTCACCTGCATAGCAATGAATGTTACGGGTTTGCAACGTATCATTAATATGCAGAAGAAACAGCGTTGGCGATAGCACGCAGCCTTGTGGAACACCAACATTAATCGGCTTGCAATCGGAGCTTGCACCGTCTAAAACGACCTTGATGATCCGATCTGCAAGAAAGCTGGTGATCCAATCGCACAATTTCTCGGGAAGCCCATAGGAAGGGAGCTTCGAAAGAAGTGCTTTGTGCCAAACCCGATCGAAGGCCTTCGCAATGTCGAAACTAATGGCCCATGCCTCCCCCTTGGACTCTACTGCCTCCGCCCATCTGTGAGTTAGGTAGACCAGAAGATCACCAGCTGACCGACCACGGCGAAAACCTTATTGGCGGTCACTAATCAGCTGGTGATCCTCAAGGTACCTCATGAGCTGGCAGTTTACAATGGACTCTATTATTTTGGAGAACAAGGAGGTGATGGCGATAGGCCGGTAGTTGGACGGGTCTGAGCGGTCGCCTTTTTTTAGGGATCGGGTGGACGAAAGCCGTCTTCCATTATTTTGGGACTACGCCTAAGGAGTAGGAGTACCAGAAAAGACGCGTTAAAACCGGTGCCAACTCTGGAGCACACGTCATCACACAATTGGGGGGATTCCGTCA